ATTGTATTAGTTGGGTTTGAAATGGTAGGTAAGTGTTGGATTTATAAGAAGAGAAAGAAATGATAAGACTACGCGGTTTTTTCTGAACAACATATATTATTCTATGGGTTTTATTTTTCTTCCACTAGCGGAAGAAATCAAAAATTTGACACTGATACAAAAAATAGGGATCCACTATTTTTTAAGAGTTTAGTGTTTGTCATTTTAAATGACACAAAGTTGTGTCATTTTTAATGAAACTACGTCGTTTTGGTGTGTTTTATCATTTTCTCTAATTTATAAAATTAGAAATAAAAAGAAAATGGAGGAGAGAGAATGTAAAAACACACCAAAATGACGTAGTTTCATTAAAAATGACATAAATTGTGTCATTTAAAATGATAAATTTTTTTTCATTTTTTAAAAAGAAATAGCACGCAAAATAATGTGAGAACAACTGCAGAAACGATTTTTTTCTTATTCTATTGAGGGAAGTTTTAAAAGGAGCCAAAACTTCAATGAATATTTGGACCCTGCCGAAAAAGAAGAACGACGCGTTCCTTTCTGGCTTTCTCCCAAAAAAATAAAGTACTCTAAAATTTTTAAGGCAAATTTGTTTGACAAAGGAGGATTGTTTGCTTTTCAAGTATTTTTCATAAGAAGTAATTTCATTTGAGCTGGAAACATATACATCATAGTGAGCCTAGTACTCCCAAAGAAAATTTTTTATATTCACGAAGACTTGAATCCAAGACTTTGTTTAAGTGAAATAAGCATATACCATTTAAACCAACTATATTTGTTAATAAGTTACAAATAAAATTCTACCTGAGGTTCATGGAGCGCTCTATCAAGATCAACAATTTCTAAACAGCAAATATGTGAGCCTTTGAATGTATATAAATCAACGATCAAGATTTAGTATAAGATTTCTTATTTTTATGCTGAAGTAAGAATAACATGCCTCTGTCTATATACAATTTTTTTATTAATTGTTCATTAATAATGATAATAATCAATAATAAATGAAAAATAATAATAAGAAAAAAGTTATTTTCACTCTAGGTGGTTACTGTGTGTATCACTTAATCTTTTATGCATTCAAAGGTTTTATTTTTTTTACGCTGAGATTTGAATCTATAACTTTATACAAATTATCCAAGCCCCTCATCATTGAAACAATTTCAGTGGCTTAAAGTTATTATTTAAATTTACAACGTACATTATATAGCCTCCTAAATGTCTAAAAAATTATTATATAAAATGTTAAAAATATCCTTAATAAATAAATTATAAAATTATATAAGTATAAAAAATCATTAATTAAAGTAAAACAGGAAGCTGATTTGTAAATAATATATGTGAAGAATCCATTTTGACCGGGCAATTGTGTTAGTGTTGATTTATGAAGAGAAAGAAATGATAAGACTACTCGGTTTTTAATGAACACCATATATTATTCTTGTTGGGAATGGTATAAGAAAGACTAAAACCTTTGCAAAGGATTCATCAATGGGAAATGGACTAAAAGAAAAATTACATTTCTTTCTGTTTCTGGGGCTTAGCCCCTCTTTATTTACAAAAAAAAAAAAAAAAAAAGAAAAAGAAAAAGAAAAATTACAATAAATGGGCTGACACCACATTTTAATTCAAAATCTTAAGATTTTAGATTTGTGGGTCTTTTGCACTTATATGATCATTATTTGGTCTATATCTAGAAGATGTGGTACTTGTTTACAACTCATACTTAAATACTTCCAACAATTCTATCGAGGGATGTTTTAAAAGGAGCCAAAAATTCAATGAACACAGAATCCCTTTGAATATTTGTACACTGCCGAAAAAGAAGAACAACTCGTTTCATACGTGTTCTAGGGGGTAATCAGAAAGAAGTGCTGAAGAAAAAGGAGCCATAACTTCAATGAACACAGAATCCTCCCTTGAATATTTGTACATCATATATTATTCTATTGAGGGAAGTTTTAAAAGGAGCCAAAACTTCAATAAAAAAAAAAGGACTCTGAATTTTTTAAGGGAAATTTGTTTGATAAAGGAGGATTGCTTGCTTTCTAAGATGCTTTGGGTGCTCTTTCATACGCGTCCTAGGGGGTCATCATAAATAAGTGCTGAAGACGCGTTTATTGATTACTCAACTTTTTTGAAATAACATATTATATTTCCGAAAATCTTTTATTCCCATTTCAGTTTATGTTAAAAAAATCTAGGAATACAATTTACTTTTGGAAAATTATCCTTAATATAAATAAAAAAGAATTAGTGTTTGTCCTTTTAAAGGATATAGAATTATGTCATTTTAATCAAAATTATTATATTTTATGATGAGAGAAACAAAAATTATAGTGGGAGAAAGTGGTATATATTTTTAATTTAAATATTAAATAAAAAGTACTAATTATTTAAAATAACTGTCCTTTAAAAGGATAAATATTTTCCCATAAAAAATTAAATATAATAATCCACAGAAGTAACAAGCGGGCTATTTCTTTGCAAAATTGTGCTCAATTTCATATGTGGCAATTCCGCCAAGATCGGATTTGAATCAGATTTCGGCGGATCAATCTATATTGATTGACTGCCTCCATTATGTTCTTGCTTTTGGGTGTGAAGCAGTGTCAAATCAAACTACCCAACAAGCATAAGCTCTCCCTGAAAAGGAGGTGATCCAGCCCATGAAAGAAAGATTAATGATTCATATAAATTACTAAATGGTAAATGGCCCGAAATCGATATTTCACGATCAAGGGTATAATACTCTTTGTAGTAGCGGTCAAACCTATTTAAATATTCTTATTATTCAATATTTCCTTGAGCAGGGCGCTCAATAGAAAAAAAATTTGAGTCGGCCCCCCTCTTGTGCAAAATTCACATCAAAAAAAGAAATAGATGTTATCTTCTGGCTATATAAATCATTCAAACCATAAACATATAAAACTACAGTCAATAAATTAAATCTTGGAGAATTGAAGAGAAACACAGCAAATAGATGTGACAAAATTTAAAAATATGGAAACAAGATAAGAAATGGCAACAATTCTTAATCTGCAAGATTGATAAAAAAAAATATATATAACTAATCACTATCATAATATGTAAAACACACATTCATTGTTCTCATTCGTACATGAACATTGAAAAACTAAACATGCTCAAAATAGGTTCAGTGATTATAACAACATAGCAGCAAAATTGCATCGTATGTCATGCAACGTAACATTAAATTGAATGTGTCTTTAGGGTTTAGAAAGAGTCAAGCTTTAGAAAAGTGCCCATCTCTTCTTCCATATATCCACCAGAAACGCGTTGCTAGATAACAATACGAAAACGCTATAATGATCAAGTGTACCCATCTCTTTCATGCACAACCAAAGAATATAATAAATAACGGGATATGTTATTCTATTTATCTCTTTTTTTGCTTATCTTTGCCTACCACTCCTTATTATCATTAGATCAGAATCTAAATTATCTTTATCGTTTCTCTATTCTATTGAGATTCTGATTTAATAATATTAGAAAATAATAAACAAATGTAGACAGAAAAAAAGGTAAATAGAATAACTTATCCTATAAATAACTACTTCAAAAGTATAATTGTATCATTAGCTTAATTATTGTTTACCACGAAAACAAGAGGTCAATGAAAACAAAATAAAACTACAACTCAATTGATTATGTTACTTAAATTATGGTAGCTCAGTTTGGCCTTTTGCGAGAAAAATGATGGTAGCTCCTGGCGCCTTTGATTAGTCACATTATGTTGCTTTTTCCTATGCTTCAAGAAGAGAAAAATGCAAGGATTGTATCTCACTTATTTTGTGTCGCTACTTTCCTCCATTCCTTTGTTTTCTTTTGAAGTATAACTTACTCTTCCTAATCTTACTTAAATGCTTCTAGTTTTTTTTTTTCAAGTAACATTCACTTATCATAACTGAAAGAAGTGTCTCAATATAAGTTAATTATAACTCAAAATTCACCATGTTTTTTGTCATTAGTCTAGACAACAAATCAATTAAAAAACAACGGTTGGGATTGTGAGTTTTATAATTTAATTTCCTGCCTGTTTCATCATAAAAAATGACTTAAGACTTTAACGATAGTGTGAATTTGTGAATGTCTAACCTAAGATGAATCTAGTCAGTAATTACTAAATAATTAAACAAACTTAAAACGGAGAATATTTTATTTTTGAATACAAGTGATAGTGGCTTAAAACGAATTTTATTTTATTTTATTTTAGTAAATAAACGGATAATATTTTAAAATAATCTGAAACTCACATCCGTAACTATACAGTAAAAAGTAATTGTTAATAACACTATCTAAATAACTCATTTTGCTAGAACTATCCTTAAAACAAATTATTTCATTATAAATATATTTCTGGCAAAGACCACCCAGTGACGAAATTTCATTTGCTTGGACGGCTAACTCTATGCCAAAAACCACCCAGTCACGAAATTTCAAATTTCCATTCTGTTATAGGAAAACATATATAATATTGAAGATTTAGTATATCAATTATTAAAATTAAAAAAGAATACGTAATTTTATTTATTACATCTGTTTCTTTACCGTTAATGTTATCAGAATTTTTATTTTTTATTTTTTACTTTTTAGTAAAGTGTTTAATGTTTTACCACACTCACGTAAAAATAAATGAATCTTATTAATTTTTTTTTTCTTTTTGCTCTCTTTACGATAAAATCCATTCACTTTTATGTAAACGTGAGAAAAGAAACTTTTTTCCACTAAAAGCACAATTATTTTTTCAAATGAATACCTACTGATGCGACACTGGTGTTATACCTACAAGTCGCTATAGCCTATTGGCTACGGGTGGCTAATTTTCTTCAATAATTTGGGTGTTATAATAAACGCAGCCATTACATTCCATGGGGAAGAAAAACGGTCAAAATTGTTCAAAAGTAATCTTCAAATTCTTATTTGATATGGAGTTGCCTTGGAAGAAGCTGTGGTTGATGTTGTTTGGAGTAACAATAATGGCTCAAGTTTATGGCAGTAGTGGTTGTTTCCAAGAGGAGAAGGAGGCGTTGCTGGATTTCAAGGCTGCTTATTCCAGTGAGTCTGTGTTACCTTCGTGGGTGGATGACACAGAGCAATTGCTGCAGTTGGGACCGTGTCACGTGCGATTCCTTTTCCGGCCATGTCATCACTCTCTCTCTTGAGGGTTTATATAAAAATAATAGTAACACGCCACCATTTTGTTTGGACTATCCCCTCTTAAATTGGTCATTGTTCTTATCCGTCAAAGAATTGAGAAGCCTTAAATTGTCCAAGAATTGTTTTGTTGACTTCATCCATAACGAAGGTACACCCTAATCTCATCTCACCGTTTTGTTTATTTTTATTTGCTTTTGTTCACTCACATCTCGCAGCCCGTTCGTTTGAGATTCTCAAAAAAAGTAATTTTTGTTTCTTTCTTATTTTAAAAATATTTTTTATAAGAGTTAAAGTTATTTATATTTTTATAAAAATATCTAGTTTTTGAAAAAACTATTTTACTTTTGACTTTTGTTTTTTTTAGAAGTTAAAATTTTTAGCTTCAGAAAAAGTAGATTTTTAGTTTTTTTTGTGATTTTTGCTTCTTTTTTTTAAAAGCAGATATCCAAACGAACTAAAAACGAGAAGCGCTTTTTTTCAAGAAAAAAAGCAGCTTTTGCAGAAGAAAAAAAAGCTCATTCAAACGAGCCCCAAGTATGGGACGAATATTTCTATACATATTTTTCTCTTTTGATATCTTTGCATTAAGGAATTTTGGATCTGTCCAATAAATCAATAATCAATCTATTTTTTATTTTCCAAAATTAAAAAAATCCAACTTTATATATCTATTAAGTTATGGCATAAAAGTAACATAAACAATTAAATTATTCGCGTATTTTTTATGAGAAATGATATCCTTATTACCAAAAAAGTTTACCACATTTACAACCAACTTAATCACCGTTGATTTCCGTCAATCTAACGGTTATAATTTATTGGAAATTAATAGGTCACATTTATTAATTAATTAATAATTCTCAATAAATTATAATCGTTAGATTGACGGAAATCAACGATAATTTGGTTGATTGTAAAGGTAGTAAACTTTTTTGGTGGTAAGTATATATTTCCCCATATTTTATAATCTTTTTTACAAACGTTAAAAATAGACAGTTTTGTTGAAAGTATTGCAATTATAAAAACAAAACCCTCCTATTAATTATCTCTAATTGGGGATGATTTTTGTATATTACATTGGAAAAATTTAAAAATTCCCCAATAGTTTTGCTTTGAATCACTTACTTCCTATACTTATTTTTTAATCACCTACCCCATATAGCTTTTTTCTATCCAAACACATTCTTAGCATCTTTAGAAATTTAATTAATCTGTCTATTTTAACCTTCTTAGAATAAGAAAATTAGCTGATAACAAAAAAAGAAAAAATAAGACAAAAAAATAAAATAAAATAAAAAAAAGAAACTTATGAGACTTACAAAAAAAATAAAATTAAAAAAAATAGAAGAAAAAATTCCAAATATATCTAAATCTAAAAGAAGAAAATTGACCCAAGATAAAAAAGAAAAAGAAAAAAGATAAGACCAAATATATTGGAAACTTAGAATAGTGAAAGAAAAGAACAAAAGTCAAAAAGAAGAAGAAAATCTAAATCAAAAAGAAGAAAATAGACTAAAAACAAAAAGAAATAGAAGAAAAAATATGATAAAAATAAATAATAAGAAAAAAAAATTAGTGTTGTAAGTTTTCAATATTTTTTTTGTCTCATTTTGTCTTCTATCTTCTTTTTTTTGTCCTCAATCTATTTTCTTCTTTTTGATTTAAACGTATTTGTTCTTTCTTTCTTCTACTTTCAATTTTTTTACTTTTATACTTTTTATTATTACTATTAAAAGAAATAGAAGAAAAAATAAGATAAAAAAAATAAAAGAAAAGGAAATTAGAGTTTAAATTTCTAACATGTGTGGTTTTATTTTTTTCTTATATTTTTTTCTTTAGTCTATTTTCTTCTTTTTGATTTAGACTACTTTTTTTTTTTTTTTTTTTTTTACTTTTAGTCCTTTATGTTACTATAGTATATTTCAACATATTAGATCTTATTTTTTTGTTCTCAAATATTTTTTTCTTCTTTTTTCTTTAGACACATTTGGACTTTTTTCTTCTACTTTTATTTTCTTTTTACTTCTAATTTTTTTTGTAAGTGTTGTAACTTTCTAATATATTTGGTATTATATTTTATATTCTATTTTCTTCTTTTGAAAAGTGTAAAATGGATAGATTAGTTAAGTTTCTAATAATGTTAAGAATAAGTTTAGAATAAAAAAAATGGGAAATGATCCGTTTAAAAAAAAATTTAATAATTACTTCCGAGAGTACATAATGTAATTTGTAAACAAAATTTTTGTAAATATAACCTTTCTCAATAAACATAGATGGATAAATAATTTAAAAAATATAATAGGGGGATAAGCGATTTAAAGCAAAATTTGGGTTTGCATACGTTAAGAGAAATTTGATCTTCTTTTGAATGTAGGTTTATGTAAGATGCAACAACTCCAGGAGCATTGGGATACATGCCTTGGCAATTTGACATTACTCCGCACTCTTGATCTCTCTTCTAACTCCTTAACTGGGAGCATTCCAGCACCTTTGATATCTCGTCTCACATCTCGAGTATCTTTCCCTTTCTTCCAATTCATTTGAAGGCTTATTCTCATTGAACATCTTGAGTAACCATTCAAAGCTTAAGGTATTACAACTTGACAATATGAATTCTACAACATTTCAAGTGGAAACTGAAAATCCCCCTTGGATCCCATCATTTCAGTTGGAACACCTAGTAATTTCCCATTGTCAGGTGAACTTACCCACAAAAATAATTCCTACTTTTCTCTCATATCAAAATGGCTTGAGTTATATTGATATGTCAGGGAACAACCTGGTTGGAATGTTTCCTAGTTGGTTGCTTGTGAACAACCCAAAACTAGAAAAAGTGTATTTAAATGACAACTCTTTCACTGGATCTTTTATACTACCCTTTGATCTAAATCATAATATGGATCAATTATCCTCTCTGGACATATCAAACAACAAGATCCAAGGGGAGCTCCCTCATAACATAGGAGCTTTCCTCCCATATTTAGAGTTTTTTGATGTCTCAAACAATATGTTTGATGGTCATATTCCTGCTTCAATTGGAAAAATGTCAATCATGGACACATTGTATCTGGGGCATAATAATTTTTCTGGCAAAGTACCTGAGCATATTTCTAACCTACGGTTTTTAAAAGATTTGATGTTGGATAATAACCAGCTCAATGGAACACTTCCAACTGGATTTGGAAAGTTATTTATGCTTATTATCTTAACTGCATCAAGGAACAACTTTGAAGGTGAAATAACAGAAGATTGGTGCCAACTTGAGCTTACTGTTTTAGATCTATCTCACAATAAATTATCTGGCGCAGTGCCCCCATCCTACTTCGAAAAGCCATTATTTTTATTCTTGCGAGGAAATAATCTTAATGGCACGATATCTAAAACATTAATAGCCCAATCCAGAGCAGAGGCCATTGATTTAAGTGACAACAAGTTTACAGGAACTATTCCAGAGAACATCTACAGGCTTGAGTCTCTAAGATATCTTTTATTGGCAGGCAATCAACTGCAAGGTCAGCTTTCTAGTCAGTTATGTCAGTTACAAACTATCCAGATCTTAGATCTTTCACGCAATTACTTCACTGGCTCTATACCATCTTGCTTCAATAATATGTGGTTTGCCCGTATGGTTGGCCCGTATGATTGATTATGAAGAAGTGCAATTCATAGCAAAAGGTTCTGCCCTCACTTATAAAGGTTACATACTTCAACAAATGTCATTATTAGATTTGTCATCTAATCATTTGACAGGAGAAATTCCACACCAAATAGGAGATTTACATTCCCTTCATGCACTCAACTTATCTCATAATCATCTGTGTGGACCAATTCCAAAGATCTTCCATGTGCTAGGAAAAAATTTAACATGCTCCAAGCCCACTATTTATTCAGTGGTCCTTTTTTTATAAATGGAAATTTTTCTTCCATTTCTACCCTTTTCTTTTTGAATTTTTCCTCCTCCGTCTCTTTTTTTTTTCTATTTTTGGGATGGACCACCATGGTCCCGTCCCACAAAAAATCTTCTCATATGCTAGAGAGCTTAGATCTTTCAAATAACAACTTGAGTGGACAAATCCCTCTTCCTTTACAGGACTTGCACTCTTTGTCTGTCTTCAATGTCTCCTACAACAATTTTTCAGGTAGAGCACCTGATAAGGGACAGTTTGGTACCTTTGATGAGAGCAGCTACATAGGAAATCCATATCTTTCTTATAATAACAGTAACAGAGGCATTGCAATACTGCCACAACCTCCAACTCCATTGAATGATGGAGTGAAAAATGAGTCTGCAATTGATTTCACTTCCTTCTATTGGAGTTTTGGTGGATCCTATGTCATGGTGCTTGTAGCGTTGGTGACAATCCTTTGGATCAATCCTCATTGGCGGAGAGCATGGTTTTATTTTGTGGAAGGGTGTCTTCTTAAATGCTTTGGTCAATTTCTTGAAGATGCTTTCTATTAGGAAGTCGTGAAATAAATTGCTCATGCTGGTTATATCTTCTTGTAATAAGAAATTATGGTTTTCCTAACACCACATGAGAAAGGTTGTTTGTTTTTAGAGTAAATACTTTTTGGTCCCTAACAAAAAATACAGTTCCCACTTTAATCCCTTACAAAGAAAAAATAGTCTCGAGGTCTTTAAAAAATTTAAAGTGGATCCATTTATTTCAAATCGTGGTCTCTCACAAATTCAACTTTGTAAAGAACCTTGGGATACACCACCCCAAAAGCTAGCTAGAAGGGTGGGAGTGTAAGGCCTTATAAACTCCACATTAGTTGCAAGGGTGGGAGTGTCCAAGGCCTTATAAAGGCCACATTAGTTGCACATACAACCAATGTGGGGAACTATATATCTCAACACGCCCCCTCAGACAAGAGTCCACTGGGATTGAAGAGTGGACAATGCAACAGACTCAGCTTACCTGTGCTAAGAAACGCCACAAGAGAAAGTGGGGGGCGGCGAGGCTTTAATACCATGTAAAGAACCTTGAGATACACTACTCCAAAAGCTAGCTCAAAGGGTGGGAGTGTCCAAGGCCTTATAAACTCCACATTAGTTGCACATACAACCAATGTGGGACTATATATCTCAACAAACTTCTAGAGTAATGATACTATACTATCATGCACATGATCTTCAGTATTGAAATAAAATGCAAGAAATAACCACAAGGTTATGAGATTCTTATTAATTTAACATGATAAATTCTTGATATTGTACCACTGTTACTAATTGAAAATTACCTTAGTTATATGTTCATAACTGATTCCAACAATTTTTTTTTATGTGATCAAAAGAAGCAACCAAGGCCTCGTTGAATAAACGGGTGCTCTAAGGGGCTAGGTAAAGTAACAAAGGATCCATTTACAAATTTTTTTGACAAATTTTTATAAATTACACTATTTTCTCCCATGAGAACATAGTGAAACCTAGTGTTCTTCCAGGAGAAGATAATGTAATTTGTATGAGTTTGTAAACAAAAAAGTTTGTAAATAACCTGTCCCATAAATTAAAGATAAATAAGATGAAAAATACTAATTTCCAAGCATAGAAGCATACAATATTTCATTCCAAGTATCAGGAACACCAGCTAGACACCAGTGACTGCAATCATCCAAAGAAGTGCCATCGCCTGTGTAAATTGATGGGTGACCATCCCTCCTTAGCTGTGTGAGCAGAGTTATGTCAAGCAATTCTACAGGCTTTGCCATGTTACTTAGAACACTCTTTACAATGTCCACACCAGGATAAGATGGCATTGATCCTTGATCTGGTTGAGTTTGTCTCAGACAGCCCTTTCCACTTGAATATGCAATTCGTTTTAAAGAAAAAAAAAATGCAGAAAGAAAGAAAAAACTGAGTCTTTGAATACAATTCTAAAATCATTACTATTGGTAATAAAATATTTGCTGTGTGTATCATGATGCATAGGTGAAAGGTTTACATAAGCATTTAATTAGTACTTTTTTTTTGTTAATTGAAGTTGGAGTGGAACAAGTAATTTAACTTACTCAACATGGGAAGCAGAAATTCCCTGGAAAAACACTCTGGTCTTTGAAGGATCAATGTTAGAATCAACCCATTTAGCCCAAGTGGTTAACCCAATCTTGAAAGCTTCCATGTGATCCATGTCCTTGATTAACTCATTTCCCACTTGAAAGTAATCCCATCTGTTAAACATTAAAATAAAGGCATTAGCCACCATCCCAACTCTTCTCATAAATACCAACAAATGTAGTTCAGAAACTTCAATACGTTTGAGATTGTCCTCTATGAGTCCACCAGTGATAAGTATTGAAAATCAAAACATCTACTTCTTTCCACTTGTCCCCTGTGCTAACTGTGTCCAACTTTAGAATTCTTCCTTTTTCTTTATCATGAACCAAATCCACTAGGAACCCATTTTTCAACCACATGATCGAAACACCATATTCCTATCACCCACAAAAATATTGACAAAATTATTAAGCTAATCAAACAATTACCAAGGTTCATTATTTTTATGTAATGCAGATATAAATTGAAGAAGAGTACCGGAAATGAGAATACAGAAAGTTCCTTTATTTGTCTTGTTAAGGTGAAATTTGAGTTTGGGACTGCAATGTGAAGCAAACAAGTAAGTGACTGCCACATATTGTTGCTTATGGAGTCCCCCACAAACAATATCTTCTTCCCTTTGTTTCTCTCTAGGAAATTCCTTCCATGAAACCTGTTAACCAATTTCATTTGAGAATATTTAAACCATTCCCCATCAAATCTCAATAAGGGCAAAAAGACAATCCATGCACACAATCTTATCCTTACATATATGCAAAGACACTGTTTTTCAGTAATGAAATATTACCTTGGAAGGTGACAAGTAGAGGGCTTCCATCTAAACTTTAGGTACTCCTTGTCAGGCCTGCCATTTCTGATGCAATCAAATCCTTGACCAATGAAAGGACAATCCCTTGAAGCATCATAGAGAGGGTACAAAGAAGCATCATCCATGACCCAGTTGCCTTGAAACAAATCACATCCTTGTGGCTGGTTAACTTGATATGGTGAAGGAGTTGCCACTGCCCATGGAAAAGCAGAGGCTAGTAGTATCAGAGGACCTAACCACAATGTGAATGCCATTTCAAATTGTAAATTACTTTTTGAAACAGCTTGAATGTTTGGCTTTTGTATATATAATATACGGGTTGGAACTTTGTATTGGCTTTATTCAGAAAAATATCGGCAGAAATTACTGACTTTATATATATGCTGCCAAATGCAAACGAAGGGGGTTATTTTTTTCTATAAATGTTGAAGGCATATTAATAAGGGAAATACTATTCTTATTTTTTTTTTCACTTCAAAAGTTGTATTTTTTTTTTTTTGCTTTTTAATGGTGGACCTCACTTAAACTCTCTTTACAACACGAGAGAATTACTCTCATGTACCATAAGACTAATATTCCCCTATTAATAAAGGTCTTTAGTAGTTTCTTTTTATTCTTTTACTACAGCTGAAGCGTTGCTGTCACAAATAAAAGTTACCGTTAGGTGGTTTAATGCTTTTTATTTTTACCTTTCATTTTTAGTTGCTTTTTTTATTATTAATTATAAAAATGATTCATTATTTTTTATTTTTTTATTTTTTAATTATAAATTTCATAAAATAAATTTCATAAAAAATGAAAAATATGTTTTTAGCATTTTTTAAAAAAAAATCATTAAGCATTAAAAAATTAAAAATTATAAAAATAAAAAAATTCTAATTTCTCTCTAGGATTCAAATTGAACCGAATAAATTTAAATATTAATTTTGATTCAAACAATATAGGAATAAATTTAAGTTTATTTAAAAAATAAATTTTATTTTTGGAATGAATTAAAGAAAATCTAAAGGATTTTTGATTCAAAAATCTACTTTATTGCCGTTACAAAATAGATTAAATGACTAAACAAATAAGAACGCAATTTTTAAAATCATATAAATAAAACTTAAACAAAATAAAATCTAATGAAATTAATGTTGTTCTATTTTGGTACAACTAGAATAATAAATAAATTCCAAATCAAATCAACTCTTAATTTGTAATTTTGTAAACAAATAATTTTCTTATGAATTAAAGTAATTTCTTTAATTCCAGATAAATGAATTGGTTAATTTATATTTATCAGTCATTATTTTCCTCCTAGTTGTTTCTTTTGTTTAAATCACTTAAAAAAAATTATATTTTGGGGTGGACAATTTAACTTTAATGAAACTAACAAAAGTTTGTATTGATGAGCGAGTTTAATTCAGCTATACAGAAGAATTAAAAAAAAAAATGTAGATGGAGACACAAGTCATTATCCTAATTGTTAAAACTAATCTTGCACTTAAAAAGTGTGAAATTTTGTAGTAAGTGTAAGAACCTGCACTGATAAATTAAAATTTTAAATAATATAATTATGAGTTAAAAAATAATTTCATAATTGACTTTGGATAAACGTGGAAAGAGCATAATAATTAATATTAAATCACTTTTCAGAAGGAAAATGCAAACACCGGGTATTTCAAGGTATAAAGGGATACTGGCGAAGTAACTCAAGAAATAGTGATAAAAATATTAATATTCCTAGAAAAATATCTAGGTCAAGAATATTAAATTTGGGATGAAAACAATAAGCATTAATATCAGAACTACTACCGACTATTTCGCAACAGAAAATGCATACTAGTAAAGTGTCTCGAAAAATTAATATAAAAATATGATAATTCATAGAAAAATGTCTAGGTTTAGAATATAAAATTTTAGATTTAAACGAAGAGCGAAACTAATTAGACTAATACTATTAGTTTAAGTGAATGTGCCTATAAATGGCTAATGGACACTAAACTCTAGGTTACTTCTGAAAAATTTGTGCAGCCCCCTTTTCTTCTCAAACCTTGAATATTCTCTCTACCACTCCCAAGAAAGATTGTGCCTTTCTCCAAGGAAGTTCACAAAGAACACACTTTTATGCTCCATTCTTCTTCTTAATCCTCTAAACCCTTGAGAGCTTGTGATTTAGTGAGAGAAAGACCCACTCTTAGGCCATTCAAGGTTCTGTTTTGCGGTGTTGTGAGGTTGTCCACTTGGGCTTAGGGTGTGGAAGCCATTGTTACATTCTAGGAAGCTTCAAGAATCAATTTTTGTGAAGAAAAGATCTACCTTTGAATGTGATTTTCGTGCACCGCCAAGTCAGTAGCTTAGATCACCTTCAAAGCCCTCAAAGCTTTCCCATTTTTTCTGTTTTCAAAGGTCCATGTGTAACTATAAACCATATCCCTTGCATTTTCTTGAAAATAACTTATTTTGCGAAGTAAAAAAGGGAAACTTTAATTATTCAAGTAAAAGATGGTTTATTTATGTTTAATCATGTGGTTTGAACTTCTGTTTACTGAAAAATCGGACCTTGAACCTTGTAGAAGCCATGAACTCGTGAATTATGCAAAAAATTTGCAGTTTTCGCGTTTCTGTTTGTATGGTAATCAATTACCTTATACATGGTAATCGATTACTGTGAAAGGTAATCGATTACCCTTTGCATGGTAATCGATTACCCATGTCAGAAAAGACCAAAAATCATCCCTGATGCGTAAGGAAGCCCTAATTACACATGGTATTGTGACTTCGTGGTTTCCGACACCATATTAAACAATCATCTCACTTAAAGCTTAAGCTGCTAAGTGATAGTTTTCGGTAATTTTTATATTACTTCTCTAATAGAGCTTCAAAAATCCTAAGCCCAATTCACTTCTGAACTAACTAATAATTAAGTATACACATCTTAAAGTAAAAAGGAAAATATTTGTTTAGGAAAATCAAAGACCAAGAACATTGAATTTTTATTTTTATTTATTTTTGAAGAACAAGCATTGCATACAATAGTTGATTCCAAGTATCAGGGACACCAGCAAGACACCAATGACTGCAATCATTTCCTCTTTTTCCATCAATGCCATACAAAGAAGGATGTCCATCTTTCCTTAGCTGTGATAGAGTTGTTACATCCAACAAAGTAACATGTTTGGACATGTTAGCCAACACTTCTTTCACAATTACAACTGCGCGAGGTGAACCTGCTCGATATCTTGAACCACTTATTGGTTTTGTTTGTCCTTTGCATGTCACGGATTTTTTTGCTGTCCACTCTTTACCACTGCTCCATCAAACATTTTAAAAAACCAATTATGTTGTTGAATCATATATTACATACATTTGTATTACCAAACCTATATGAATTTACTCATAAGGAATTAATATGCACAATGTAAGTGTAAATTATACGTACACATGATTTAGATATTTAAATCACATTCTCATTTTGTTTTTAATGAAATTCGAGATATAAAGGAAAAACTAGATAAGGGTCCTCTATCAATAGTGATCAAGAAGAGATTACTTGTAGTGGGTTGGTGAAATTCCCTGAAAGAATACTTTGGTGACTTTAGGATCCACATTAGAGTCTACCCATTTGGACCATGTGGTTAGTCCCATCATAAACGCAACCAAACGATTCATATCCTTCTCAACTTTAGTGCCTTCTTGTATATAATTCCATCTGAAATCCACAAGCAACATGGATGTACGTATTAGGTCTTAAATTGAATGAAGAAATCAAGAAGCATCCCTTTCATATATTTATATTTATATTTTCTATGTAGAGAAGCAAGAGAATATATTATGAAGAGATGCAAAAACATTTGCTATATATGAATGAATTAGGGCACTTTAATATGTAACCCAAATTGTAAGATGGTGCATCTTACGGTTTCTTATCTCCATCATGAATCCACCAGTGCCACGTATTAAAGATGATCATGTCATATCCCTTCCACGAGTTTCCGTTTTGAATGGAATCAAGTTTTAAAACGGTGCCTATCTCTTCTTCTACAAGATCCACCAAAAATGGGTTTCGAGATAACATCACTGAAACTCCATATTCCTGTAAATTAAATACAACAATTCTTTCAGGCACGGGAAAGAATATAAGAAATAGTTTCTCTAGTCTAGGGTACATAGCTGTGTTAGTAGAGAGAATTTTGTTACCAGTTTGTTTTACCCAGCTCAACCAGATTAGTCTTTGGATTAGTCGAGTAATTAATGACCGGTAAAAAATTTTCAAATAATAATAATAATTTCATCAAAACTATAATTTTTTTAGCTTATTATGTATGATGAGAACAAGAAAGGTCAATGGAAAAGTATGACAAATTGACAATCATATAGTGATCCATAAAATTATGCATGATTGGTTTTTTTTTTTTTTTTTACAAAAGTTTTTTGATTTAATAATTCAATTTATGGATCTCCAAATAAAGAAAATTACCGGTAAAATGAAACTAGAGAGGTTCCCTATTCTCTGAAGATTATATTTTGATTGAGGAACAGCAACATGTATCATGCATGTGAGTGATAGCCACTGGTTGACACTTAAAGAATCCCCAACGAATAGTATTTTCTTTCCCTTAAATCTCTTCAAGAAATCTCGGCCGTTAAATCTGCATCATACAACATAGCATGAATTAGAATCCAAATATACCATTCAAGTAGTAAGGAATTTGTTCTCATTAATCAGAGTTCTCCAATTTGAGAACTATGAACAGAGAAAATAGTTTTGAGAGAATCGCCCCTATAATACTCAAACTAGACTAGCTAGTCAATAATTAATCAACATGTGAATATATTAAAGAAAAATCCGAAAATAAATATAATAAAACTAAGGATTTTATAAGAGTTATGTTGTAGGAAAAATAATTGTGTAATGTTATAGATATTCGTTTTGTGTGCCTTAATTTTATTTTATTTTGCTTTAAAAAGTACGGGTCCCACAAAATGTTGTGTGTAGGAAATTTTTTTGTGTCATGTTAAAGGACAAACTACAACCCCTAAAACTAACTATATAGTCAAGTTTATGTTATAAGTTGCATACACATGCACAAGTTTGTCATTAGAAACTGCTAATTATTTCATCAAATTTAATAAATCAGTTTTTTACCTTGGCAATTTACAACCTTTAGGCTTCCATCTATAGTGGAGATAGTGTCTATCTGGGCGTCCGTTTTCCTCGCAGTTAAATTGTTCCTCAATGAAAGGACAACTAGAAGTGTTGTAAAGAGGAAAATAGCTATGATTATAGACCCAACTACCATCAAACAAGTTACATGTGCCCAATCCTGAACCTTCTCTGCTTTTCCGTTGTCCGACTCTTGCATTGCATTTGTGAAGAAGGGACATCAAAAGTATAACAAGAAGAGAAAAAACAAATGAGTGAAAGCTCTGAAACGTTCCACAACCCATATTAACTGTATTGATAGTGTGGTGAGAATGAGTCACTCCTTATATATAGTCCCGAGAAGGGAGTGAAATACAATTACTACTTTGAATATGTTTGGTGAGATCTGGAACAACAATATTGATAGCCAAGTCTTGTCTTGTTTCGTGGGATTAGCTAAATAAATCAATAAATATGGTTGACTTCTATCAAAAATCATTTTCCAATAACGTTATGTACAATAAGCTATTTTTTATTGGTTTCTCTTAGAACTCTTAGTTATCTCTCTATATCATTTTGTTTTAATTGCATGAACTATCATTTATTTGATCAAATTTTTCATCTCATATAATTAAATCATTTTAGACAAGATTCTGATACCTTGATGTCAATAGGGGTTACTTCACTTTTCTTTCAAATACATTTACTGCTAATTAAATTTAGCAGTTCCTAAACCAACACTCAAGTGGCAAATTATTAATCCTAACGGTGAGTCTCTTCCGCCAAAATACTTGTAATAGTAAACCCCTCCTAGTAGTTAAAATAATACTTGTAACTCTGCTTTTATATATATATATATATATATATATATATATATATATATATATATATATCTATGTATGTATGTATATATGAGTATGGTTATATTTAGTACATGCTCAAGTAGTATGTACTACTCATAGTACTAGTACATAGTATATAGTATAGTTTGTAAACAAAAAAATTTGTAAATATAACTTATCATATATATATATATATATATATATATATATATATATATATATATATATATATGAAAATGTATTTGTCATGTTATATGACAAATGAATAGTTGTTATGTTAAGAAAAAGATAAATTATACAAAATTAAAAAATATAAGAGGGCACATTAATATAATATTAAAGAAAATGAGAGGGCTATAATATTAAAGAAAATGAAAGTGCACATTATTCAATGAATTAGTCGTGTCATTTTCTTAACATAACAACTATTCATTTGTGAAGTAATAATGACAAATGAATTTTCCAATATATATATATATATATATATATATATATAACTTTAATTTTTAATTTTCACTAGGTCCACATTGCCAACACTTAGTATATCAATATTTTCATTTCAGTTATACTATTTTTATTTCTTTTTGGGATTTTAAACATTCACTTATATATAAAGCATTACTTGGATAGATTTTATTAAGTTATGTGTTCAATTTTCATTTGTATAAAAGAAAGTATTGCTTGTGTTATAGCTGATATGCCTCCAACATATATATGATTTTAAGTTAAAAAGAGAAAGAATTTTGATCAATCTTGAATAAAAAGGGCTATAATTGTTATTAAATTGATAAATCCCAAGCAGATACCTTCTCACTGAATTTCTGTGATTTTTGTAGGAAAAAGTACTAGAAAAGAACAAATTTTAAGCATTAGACAAAGCTGAAGACAGTGCTCCTGCGCTACTAACGCGGGATCCGCGCTAGTAGCGCGGGAGAATTCCTACATACATAGTGTTACCGCGCTACAAGCACGGGATCCGCGCTAGTAGCGCAGGATTCAGATACCTTTGTTAATTGTGTCGCGCTAGTAGTGCGGGATCCTCGCTAGTAGCGCAGGAAGCACGTGACAGTTTTTAATCAGGATTCAAAGTGTATCTGGAAGAGATTCTAAACAAAGATATGATCAAGATTTGGACCAAGGAAACAAAGTCTATAAATGGAAGACATGGTACCCTTAGACAGAGATCTTTGGCTGGAGAGAATAGTGAGGATCAAAGAATTGAGAGAATTCTTGGAGACTCGTGTAAGGACCCGCACCGTTAATTAAGGAAGATAATTAAATAAATATGAGAATTAGGAAATAATTCCATAATTGACCCTAATAATTATGAGAAGGCTTAAATAATTATAGAAAGTAATTAATAAGGCTGAAAGTCGCTTTTCTGACGAAAAGTGCAGATACTGGTTCTGCTACTCGGTATAAGTGCGTACCAATGAAGTATCCTGAAAAATTATAATAAATGTGGAAATATTCCTAAAATAATATATAGGACTAGTGTGTCAAGTTTCAGGTCAAAATAATGAGAACTGGTGCCAGAACTGATACTGGCTATGTAAAAAACGCGTACCGAAAAGGTGCTGCGAAAAATAAAATAAAAATATGAAAAATCTTAGAAAAATGATTAGGTTCAGAATTCCAAGTTTGAGAATAGAATGATAAGCGTAGCTATTAGAGCTAATACAGTGGGATTAAGGTTAATATGACTATATATAGAGAGCGGCACAAAGACCTCGGTTAATTCCTTTTGTCTTCTACGTGGGTGGCTGGTTAGCAGCTGGTTCCCCTCTCCTTCTTCACTGTTCCACTAAATCTTTTTCACCAAAATCCTTCAAGACACCACTTTTATGAGAGATTATCCACCTCTAGCCTTGTAAACACTGAGTAGTTGGCTTGTGGGTGAGTGAGGTGTTTCATTCTGTGATTTTAAGCTGCTGTGTGTGGGGTCTTGTGCTGAGTTTGGGAGTTAGGTTGGTTGAGGCCATTGTCATGGCATCTTAGGCTTCAAGAAGCCACCTTGGAGTGTAAAGGACCCACCTTGTGTTGTATTTTCGTGGTTCCTTAAAGTCAGTACCTTGGAGTTGTGTTGGAGGCTCCAAGTCAGTGCCATTTTCGGAGTTTTAAGTCTTGGAAGGTATACCATGATCACACTTTGTCATTTTGAGGTTTTAAGCTTGTTTAATCGGTTAAAAAGTAAAACATGGATCATTTAAGTAAATGAGTGTGTTTCTGAGTTCTTAGCATGCTTATGAATATCTGTTTATGGAGTCATTGGACTCCAAATCACGTTTGGACCCTTAAAAGTGGGATTATGCAGAAGTCTATTCGAATTTCTGCATTCTGATGGAGAACTATTAGTATTCGAATACTTCTCCTCTGGTAATCGAATACTCTTTGCTGGAGTATTGGGATACTTTTCTGGGAAGAAAAGTATTCAGATACCTTTGAAGAATTATTCGAATACTTGAGAGTATTCGAACACAGTGAGTTTTGGTATTCGGATACTGTGATATTCGGATACTTGGGGTGTTGGTATTCGAATACCTTATGGTATTTGAATACTTTAGTGAAAGTAATCGAATACTTTCTGGAGAGCTGGAGTATTCGAATACTCATCGAGGAGTATTCGAATACCTCCTGCAGAAACAACATGTAATGACTTAAAATGAGATGGAAAGCCTTAATCACTTAATGTAACCTTGGTAAATGGTTATTGATGATTAATTCTTGTATAAACAGATTGTGATTATGCTGTTTGTGGGCCTTGAGCTTGTGTGGACTCTTGGCTTGGATAGTTAGCTTGCAAGGTAAGCTTTCGTGTCCTTAGTTTAGCCATTGTTTGTTCCACCATGTCCCATGGGGGGATGGTTTATATGCATGATGTGTTTCATGTACTGTTTTATTGAAATGCTATTGAGATGTTAAGTGCAAAATGCTTATGATATGTATGTGGTGTTTCGCCTAGACAGGAAGCCATGGGGTGGTCCTGTGGGCGGGTACAACATGGGCGTGTACTGTGTGGGTAATAGAAGTATTCCTGCACTTCTCTGATCAGTAAAATAGTTATAACACACATGACATGATTATCTGCTGCATTGCACTGATTTTAGAACTGATATTGAATTACTGCTCTTGGAACTTATATTGAACATGTAAGTGAGCTTGGGGTGGAAGATTCTTGAGGACCCCTTGTCTTACTGAGATTTCTGTTTAGAGATCTCACCCCACGTTTGGGGCACATATTTCAGGTTCAGGTAATGTGGGGGTTGAGACCTCTAGCAGCAGGAGGCCAGAGCTTAGCTGATTTATATGTTGTTATGCCACTTATGTTGGATGCTAGATATTGATTGTTGCTTTTATGCTTTTAGCTTCATGTTGTTATTGTTGAGACTGTTGTTGGATTGTGTTGCCTTATTGGGTGAGCATGGAGATTGTCTGTGCCACATTGACTTGACTTTATGCTTTTAGATTCGAAGTTGTATAGTTGTATCAGGATTATGTTCGGTCTACGTGTTGTAGTCCCGTGACTTAGATACTCACACTTATCTATCTATTGAGGTATTTCAGTTAGCTGTCCTTTGCAATTTACATACAGGCGATATTTTTATGAAAATGATTAAGTAATCAACTTGGCAAAGTATAATGACGTCATAATTGAAAGTAAAAGTTATTCCGCATTATTTTATTAAGCGTGGCTTAATACGATGACATGATAACAAACCAGATATATACGGGGTGTTACAACTCACGCTAAAGATCAGGATTCCACCGAAGTTGAAGACTGAAGAACATTGATCTTCCTTCTTCTTTTTTTTTTTTTTATGTTTATGAACAATTTTTATTATTTGAATTTGTAAGTCAGACATGAATATTTCTGGCTAATTTTTTTTTGTAGTTGGGATCACGGACCCGATGTGAATCCTTTATATTTTCTGTATTGTTTTTATAAGCTAATTAGTTAGTTTGTTTTATTTTACCTGTGTTAATTTTTCCATATCCTGATTAAAATTGGCCACTCTAATTATAGGGCTTTGAGGGTTAGGACTCATAATAGACATATTGGGGTTTTAGTCTGGACAAGGGTAGAATAACAATTTGTGCATGACCTAGACATAGGCTTACATAGATTGCAGACTTTTAATTCATTTGCTTAATGCTTAATTCAAGAGAGATTACTAGGACACTAGGATTCTAATTGGGTTAAAGGGTTGAAATCACTAAGACATTAGGGTTCAACTATTTTATAGGAAAATAATGAATTGTCTGAGCAAACGAATTAGTTAATTATAAAAAACAATATAGGAATATAAGGGAGGATCGGAGGTGAAGTGCATCCTAGCTACAGTCTTTTTACAATTTTTAATCAATCTCATAATTTCTTGTCTTTCTTGATTTTCTTGCATGCGTTTTAATATTATTGTTTTTTAAAATTCTGTTTTAAAATTCCAAAATCAATTACTTTTTAC